ACCTATTTTTGTTATACAAAATAGCTAAATAAATTCCTAATATTTATATAAGTATGTGGTGGGCCTCATATCTAAAACTCCAATCAATTTGGTGCACCCATTTTGAATTCAAATACCCAAACCAAATTTGAATTCAAATCAAGGAAGAAGAAAAAGAAAACAGAAAAAGGAAATGAGGAAGAGGGCCTCGCAGCCGGCTCGGCCTGCTCGGCTTCATGGCCCAGCCAGCAACCGGCCAGCCTTGCCAGCGCGTAGCAGCAGGCTGGCCCAAGAGCTCATGCAGGCCCAGCAGCCCAGCGACCAACCCCGCACGCCCCTTTTGCTTCGCCCGCAGCCGCTGCCAACGGACCCCACCCGTTAGCCACCTCCGACAACAGTGCTTTCTTCCTCCCCACGCCGATTCTTCTCCGACCAAGTCCTGACAGCGATGGCAGGAGCAGGCCAGGGGTCACGCTAGGGGCATGACCCTGTCTCCCCCTTGGCGCCGCGCCCACGACCACGCCACGGCCCCAGAACCCTAGCCCAGCCTCGCTAGAAGCCCTCCGATCGCCCCTAGTTCTCCATTCGCCGTCCACCGAGCTCCATGGATGAGCTTGGCTATAAAAACCCCAGCCTCGGATGCCCAAGCGCTCTCCTGTGCCCCGCCGCCACCTTGTGGCCGTCCACCGCTCACCCGAGCCAAGAGAGAGAGCCAAGAGAGAAAGGGGATAGAGGAAGAAGAAGGAGCGCCCGATGTCGCCGGAGTTACTGCAGCGGAGGGTGACTCCGTCATCGTCATCACGGATGCGGGTCGGCACTGCACAGCTTCCAGAGCTACACGGCCTCGAACCGACAGTGCATCGCCACCCTAAAGCCGTCGACACCAACGGTGAGCCCCCTCCTAGTCTTTCCCTGCCCGCAGCCGGACCTCACCTTGTCGGCCATGGCGCTCCACACCGGGAGCGCGTAGGCCAGGGCCGTCTCCGGTCCTTGGGAACACACGCACCCACGCGCACACCCACGACCACGCCGTGACCACCCTGCTGGAGCCCCGTAGTTCACCCGTGCGCCTCGCCGTTGTCACCATGTCGCCGTGGCCGCCGGGGAGCCCCTACCGGCCACCTGGAAGCCCGAAGCCCCGCCTTGAGCCCTGGACGCCCTCACCGCGTCCCCATGGATCCGTAGAAGCTTACACGCCCCCAGGATGCTTCACCGTGGCCATAGCCACCTCACCGGCGCCGCCGTCATGCTAGGAAGACTGCCGCCGTGGCCGACACACCACGGGACCCCGCACGTCGTGGTAACCCCACCAATGAAGACGCCGAGGCTCGGCGGAGCTTCCACTCGCGTCAATTGTGCACTAGCACCACCATGGAGGCTCACCAGTGAGCTCGCCGCTGGCAAGAGCACGGCCACGGGAGAAACAGGGGAACACCCCCCTCGCCGGCAACCCGCGCATACACCCGGTGCATATGGACCGCGCCTGAGAGAAGAAGGGTGGACTCAGTCCATCGTAGACATGTCTGTGGTCCATAGACCAGCGTCTCTTGGTCCACCGTGAGCCACGCTCACGCCCACAGCCCAAGACCACAGGCCAGTAGAGGCCCACGGCTACGACGTGGCAGCATCATAGCCTGCCACGTGTCCGACCTGGCCTGGCCCAGACCGGCCCAAACCGAGCCCACCAGAGCCCGTTTGAGACCCGGCCCATGTTGACCGTTGACCGGTCAACATCGATCGTTGACCGGTCAACGTCGACCATTGACCTGGCCCCACATGTCAGCGACACCGAGTCGCTGGACCCACTTCTCAGTAGGTGACGTCATGCTGACCTTGTGATGACGTCACGTGGGACCCACACGTCAGACGCCAACACAGCCAGGGTGACGTCATGCTGACGTCACGATGACATCAGCAGCCCTGGCCCCACACGTTAGTGTCCCTGACCGTTGACCATTGACTCGCCGTTGACTGACGTTGACTTTGACCGGACCCACATGTCAGTGACCCTAGAGCCCCTGGACCCACCTGTCATAACTGATGACGTTGCTGACGTCAGCAGGACCCCACCTGTCAGCACGGAACCGAGATGATGACGTCATGCTGACATCATCATGCCACGTGGACCAGTCACAGAGTGACACGTGTCAGCCCAGGATTAATTCAGCCTTTCTCATTTTCAGAAATGGATTTAATCTTCGGAAATTCATAACTAATTCATGTGACCTCGGAAAAATACGAAACCAGGACCAAAATTCATCTAAAATCAAGCTCTACGCAATGAACCCATGTTTGAGTGCATTTGGCTCTTTTTGAATTTTCATTGCATCTTTGTGCTATTCTATAGACGTCACTAACGCGACTATAATGCGATCGTTTGTATACTCGAAGGAGAACCGGACGGACGAGGATCTTGAGTACTGTGAGGAGTACGGAGACGACTACACTGAAGGTGCCACATCCCACCCAATCTCGTAGCACCTATTACGCAAATAGAAATGCTAGTGCTTTACTTTATTGTTATGATCACACCATGATAGGACTTGCATGGTAGTATGCTTTCTTGATGCCCTTTACCTTGACGCAACCTTGCCCCTGCTCACCCAGCTGTTAGGCTAGTCACATGCTTGCTACTATATTTCATTGCTTATTACTTCTACTACGCTTGCACTACATTGGTGCGTGGTGGAAAACTGGTGTTATCTGGACTATGGGGAGAGTGCTGCGTGTGTGACTTGGGTGCGTGGAGGGTGAGGGTTGTGTCGACCAAGTTAGAGTATACGACGAGTCTGGGGCAAGTATTGCCATGGGGTGCTGCATGGGCACCCCTGGAATGGATACCTGTGGTGGGTAAATGGTATATGAGATGGCCCTAGGTGTGATCCTATGATGGGAGGAGCCTAGGGTGGAGGTGCTGTGGTGGCACGGTAAATGGAAACCCTGATGATGACATTTTGGCTTGGTCATCACTAAGGACTTACTAGTACTCAGATTCACCGGGAAGCCTTACGTACCACTCGCCCTATATGGTGCGGGACGGCCGGACTACTTGGTAGGGTATTGCCACTATTGCTAGGTTGATAGCGGACAGTGCGAGGGAGGTATGGGGTGCGGAGGATTCCCCCCACACCCTTCCGAGACCTCATGGAGACCTTGTGGACCCGGTTCATGACTCACAGTTTCAGCCACCCAGACCAGATTTGGGGTGTGCCAGTGCTGAATGGTAGAGTGGCATTATCCTAGGCTAGCAAGCGGCCGGAATCAACCCAGTTGACGACGGTCAGCGAGGAAGGCGGATCTTGTGGTTATGTAAAACCTCTACAGAGTGTATGGTTGATCGATCGATACATATGCCGACTTGTCGGCTATGGACCTTTCCTGGGTTTCGCTTAAACTAGATAGTGAGATGAGTCATTCTCTTCTCCCCCTGGGAGTGAGTGTTCGGACGTAGCCAGGGGCTACGGGCCTTGAGACAGTGACAAGAGGGAGTTGGCCTGTCGACTGAGTGATGGTATGGGTGTGATATGGTGATGGTGTGGAGATGGTGGTGTATCGATCCCAGGATCAAAACTGGCTCTGGATGGAAATGGGGTGGAATGGGTGTGGGAATGGTGTTAAAACTTGACCAACTGTTAATATAGACTCAAAATGCTATTACCTAGGAAACCCCAGCTTTATAGGTTCCTTTGATTATATCCAACTTGCATCCAATTTCCACAAAGCAATGCTCATAGGGTGGGAGTGGCCAGTACAAATCGTACTGATAAATTTTGGCACATAGGTTCTGCTGAGGAGTATAGCTCTGAGGAGTTTGACGGTTGAGGGGTCCGTTCCTACGCTCGAGTATGGCGATCTTATCTTCAAGCTGTTCTGAATGAATGCTACTTTTAATTCCGCCAATGCGGCGATGTAATAAATTTATGTAATTCCGCACTATTTGTACTATGATATTATCGTTGTATGGATGTGATATTCGACTAGAATTTGGGTAATATGATCTACAACGGTCTTATTACACTTCGACACTATGGATTTCCATTCGCGGAAATCGGGGTTGCTTCAGTCATGGCCCCCGCCGACACCGGCTCCATCCTCTGCATGGCGAGCATCAGCGGCGTCCTCGGCGGGCTGGGGACGTACCCGTACTCGATGTTCAAGTTTGCCGTCTCTGGTGCGGTAAAAGCAGTGGCAGCGGAGCTGTCGTGCCATGGTGTTCAGGTCAACTGCATCTCGCCCCACACGGTGCCGACGCCAATGTTCAGTGGCGGACCCAGGATTTGAAACCAGGGTAGTCCTAGTCAAAAAATTTCATGTGCAACACGACAAAATTCAAAGAAAAGTTCGGTAAAATGGCTATAAATTAACTAAATTGAGATAATACAATTGAAAGGTTCAAAACTTATATAAATTAATCAAACTTATATAAGGTCTTACATAAATAAGAGATTACAATACAAGTTCTAGTTCAAGGCTTTTGCTTTGCGCTTTCTCATTGCCATGAAAGCATGAACTTGGCAGAGATTAGACAAAAGAAATTCGAAATTTATTTTATAGAAAAATAGTATCAAACAAAGTTTTGGAGTACACCATTGCGAAGAGCTCGTCGAGACAATCGAAATAGACATATTATTTGCTATATTGGCAGCTCGGATCCAAAAGATATTATTTTTAAAAGAGAAGTCAACGTCCACTTAGCAAACTCCAGGAGAGCCCAACAACACAACGCCATGCAGCACATGCACTAGGCATCCATACTGGCCAGGCGCGTCCCCATCTGCTTCCCCAGTGGGAGAGAGCCGTCGAACGGCCCAGCCACTCAGGTAAAGCCGCGTGACCCAGGCAGGAGGCCCCACCTGCTCCCCAGTTTCACCACGTAGGAGCTCAACAGGCCGTGACTGCGCACACTCCGTGACTACGGTAACGTGGGCTTCTTTTAGTTTTTTATTAGGCCAGACTTTCTATAGGCTAAATGATTGAAAATGCTGAGTACTAAATAAATTTTGGACCAGATTCCAGGGTAGTCATGGGCCTACCTAGACTACCCTTTGGGCCCACCACTACCGATGGTGGTCGAGCAATTCTCGACTATGCTCGGCGGCGCCGCCGACGAAGAGCAGGTGGCGGCGATCATTAGGGGTCTAGGCGAGCTGAAAGGCGCGACATGCGAGGTGGTGGACGTGGCGAGGGTCGCTGTGTACCTGGCCTCTGACGACGCCAAGTACGTGTCCGGGCACAACCTTGTGGTTGACGGCGGATTCACGAGCTACAAACACCTGAACCTTCCCTTCCCTACCAAGCCACAGGAGTGACTTGCCACAGCTGCTTGTGATTCAGGTGTTGCATGCTTTCATTCTGCTAGTGTTTCTTGTTAGAATATCAAGTATTTGATTAGTTAGACTCTTTGTTTTCATATTCCCCCTATCCTTTCATATCCCATGTATTTCTATATAAACACCTCTTGAGATTAATGGAAAACTGAGTTGAGTTAATCCTCCAATATGGTATCAAAAGGGTCACGATCGCTTTGCTTCCGCTCACCCTAGACCGTTGGACTCCCACGACGTTCTCCACCTTCGACGCTCGCATTGTGGTGTCATGCCATCGCGATCTCATCATCACGCCTCTGCGTCGCGGCTCGTCATCGCGCCTCTGCATCGCGGCTCGTCATCTCGCCTCTGCGTCGGGGACATCGCGCCATCGCGACTCCGTCTTGCCAAGCACCGCGATCCCACGATCCGCCAAGTCGTCCCACCACCCTGCTACTGCGCCAGGTCGCCAGGTCGTGACTCTGCCACCCTGTCCCGGGACTCCGACCGCCTGGAAGAGCCACGCCTATTTGTGTGACCTCCGTCCGCGACCGCGACCACAGCGACCGCACCACGATGCTAGGCTCGCGACTCTGCCAGCTCGCGATTCGCCAGCCGACTAAATCACCATGATCGCCGTGACTCGCTTAGGGCGGTGCTCGCCTCTCGCCCAGGGACGACAGCGGTGCCAGCAGCGCCGAGCTCTCTTCCCGCGCGACATGGACACTGTGCTGTCCAACCGGCTGGCATTCCTTCCAACGCCATGACGATCATGTCTCCATCAACCGACAACTTGTATGTGGACTCAGATGCTTCTTCTCACCTGGTTTCAAACTCTGACTTTCTATCCCATGTCGTTCATCCTCCTACTTCTTTTACCCTGCCTAATATTATTGTCGGCAATGGTTTCTCTGTACGTGTTACTGCTGTCGGTTCCACTTCTTTTCCGTTGACCGATCGCCCATTACATCTACATAGTATTCTTGTCTACCCGCATATTATTAAGAATCTTATTTCTGTCCATCGTTTCACCACTGATAATAATTGTTCTATCGAATTTGATCCTTTTGGCCTTTATGTAAAGGATCTGGCAACGGGGAACATGATCGTCAGGTGCAATAGTTCTGGGGAGCTATACTCCTTTCGGCCGTCCGCCCATCCTCATACATTCGCCGCCAGCACATCTACCCCTTTGCTTTGGCATCGCCGACTCGGTCATCTCATGAGTCTCTATCCCACTTGGCATCTTCTTTACATTCGGCTTGTAAAAAAGTGAGTTAAAAACATTGTGTCATGCTTGTCAGTTAGGTCGCCACGTGCGCCTTCCTTTTGCTCAATCCACTTCATGTGCTTCTAAGATTTTTGATTTAATACACTGTGATTTGTGGACCTCTCCCATCCTAGTGTCACTGGTTATAAATATTATCTTATAATTCTTGATGATTGCTCATATTACTCATGGACTTCTCCTTTACGCCTTAAGTCAGACACATTTTCTACCCTTTCTAACTTTTTTTCTTATGTCGCTACTCAGTTCGGCACCACGATTAAGACCGTCCAATGCGACAACGGTCGCGAATTCGACAACTCCACCGCCCGTACCTTTCTCCTCACTCAAGGCGCCACCATTTGCATGTCCTGTCCTCATACTTCTCAAAATGGTCGTGCCCGTTCCACTAATAACATCATGCATTCCCTCATGTTCCAAGCCAGCCTCCCGCCATCCTACTGGGTGGAGGCTCTCCACACCGCCACTTATCTCCTTAACCGTCACCCACCAAAACACTAAATTTCCAAACTCCGTATTTTGCTCTATATGCTGCCTCTCCTTCCTATCATCATCTTTGTGTTTTTGGTTGCAAATGTTGCAAAGTTTGGTTGCATTTAATTTAGACGGGCAAATAAGAAAATACATGTATTAAGAGTCCATACTTATATTTACATAAAAAATATATTCTTAGAAATCCAAGATAAGAAAAAAAAAATTACGACATATAGCTAGCTATTACAAAAATATATAAAAAAAGCAAAGGTCTTCAAGCTTGGCATTGATGAAGATTGCTCGCCGGATGATGATTTTTACATAGTTGATAAAAAAAGCAAAGGTCTTCAAGCTTGGCATTGATAAAAAAAGCAAAGGTCTTCAAGCATGGCATTGGACGAACATATGCTCCATATGAAGACAAAGAGCTAAAACAGACGACATGTTACATAGTTGACAAAAAATGATCCATAACTTGTCAATCAAAGTACAGAGAAAATTTGATTTAAATAGACATGTTGGCAGCAAAGCATATAGGCCCCATTCGCTTCGCTGAAAAACAATCCGAAACACTGTTCCGGCTGATTTGTTGTGAGAGAAAAACACTGTTCCGGATAAAAAAACAAGCTGAAAAAGACGGATTATAAGAGAAGCGAACAGGGCCTTTATATATTTGTGCATTTGACATTTTTATGGGTTAATTGGATTTGTGCCATTATAATTATCACGTTTTTAAAGCGCGCCATTACTATTCGTCTAACTACGCCAGTGCCATTATAATTCTACGGTTGTTTGAGACACGCCACTATGTACGCCCGACGCCATCTTGGACCCACTATCAGGCTACAGGAGGGAGCCGTATTTCCGTATTGTCCATTTTGCCCTCCCGCGAGATGATAAGGACACCGACGCCCGCCTTCTGTTTGCAATCGCCGTCCCCGTTCCCCACTGTCTTCCTTAATCCCTAACCCTAGAACAGCGGCAGCAATCCTCTGCGGTAGGCGGCACCTCTTCTCCCCTTCCCATCGTCGTCTGGAGATGACGAGCGCCGCATCCTCCAGCTCGGCCCTGATGGGTGACCTCCCTAGGATCGATTGCCCCAAGTGCCACCTGAAGGTGATTAAATGCAGGAGCAAGAACAATGATGTGTACTACAAGTGCCCTAACCATTTCTCGGTATGTTGGTTGATTGGCTTTAGCTTCATCTATGGGTTATCTGTTTTTCTGTTTTTCTTGTCGGATTGAGAAAGATTGTTTGTTCAAGCATAATAACAGCAGTTGTCCATACTACTGGTATGAGGAACCCTATCTGGAATACTTGCGCTGCAATCACCCTGAGATGCTGAATCCGGGTCCTACAAAAGAAGAGAAATCAGTTGCAGAAACCATTGCAGAAGAGGTCAATGGCGACCTGAAACTCCAGATGTGTTAGTTGAAGCTCTAGGTGTCTGAGATGAAGGGCCAGCATGGTGAAGTGATGCTGAAGCTCATGGAAGCCAAGGAAGCGCATGGTGAAGTGATGCCAGAACATGTGTCGGCCCAACAACGTGTCGATGCGCTTGACACACAGCAAGCCGGAAGGATCAGCTCGGAGTGAGCCCGGAGATCCGCTTGACTTCAACGCAGGACCAGCCGATCCTACAAATTCAGAGGCGTGCTAGTCAATTTGACCTGCAATTGACAAGGAGAGAAATTTTATCAGTAATTTAGGGTGGAACATGCCGGTTTTGCCCAGGCAGTTCCAAGTGTGCCGCTTCGGAGCAGCCATACGGGAAAATCGACTAAAACAGCAGATACGAGAAGAAATTGGCTGTTAAGGACTGTAAAGATCGTGGGTCATGATTGATTTTATAGCAACGAATACAATGCACCCAGTTTTAATGATCCTTTCCCTTGAGCTATTAACATGTATGCATCAAAGATACATCACTGGCTAAATTAGATTTGATCAATACGTGGTGTAGAGCCAATGAATCCGGTGAAAAAGGATATGCCACGCAAACAATCGACTGTTTGATTTAAACAGATCTACGAACCATCTAGATCTAATCTATCACCGTCAATAGTGAGGTTCGACCAGATCGATGCAGCTATGATGATGATGATAGTCTAGAACCAGAAAATCCATAGAACCGACCATACTTCAACAGATTCATGAAAACGTGCCATATCTGTGAAAGCACAGGCTCGGGCAGAAAAGGGATTACAGCGTGTGACCAATCGACTATTTAACATAGACAGATGTATAAACTCATCAGACCTAACCCGTTATCTATAACAATGGGGTTCGATCGGATCGATGACAACCATAATAAAGATAACAGATCAAACCTTTAAAGTAAACGGATCTATTCACATTTAACAGAATCATGGAAACACACTATAGATATTAAAGTACAGGCGATCGGCTATTTAGCCGATACAGGCATAACAAACAGCTAAGGTCACGCCTGGTCGAAAGCAAATCTACCAGCTAGCATACTCCGATCTAAAGTGCTAGCAGTGGGGATCGACCGGATCGTTACAGCCATAATAGCAAGCTATAGACTAGATTCAACTAGCTAGTAAACCTTCTCAAGATCAGACATGCCTTGACCACGTACTATGCACGATCAAAATAAACGATTGCAATGTGACAAAATAAACGATGGACTAAAAGGATGTGAGGCCGATCTAGATCGATCTCGATCGGGCAGGTAGATATTGCTGAAACTAATGACAATAAGAACATTAGCAAGATCGGTAACTTAATGAATCTACCTGAAGGATGCCACCCTTAGGTAGAGCTGATAACTTGACCTTAATCTAATTCGAGCAGTGGAGGTCGAACTTAACCGATGCAGCCGTACTTAAACTAGATAAGGATCGATAACTAGCTTATACTAGAGCTCGTAAGAGGTCGGCCGGACTGATGCAGCCTTACAAACAGAAGTATAAGCCATGACAGTACTTACAGACAAGCCGGAGGTCGACCGGATCGATGTAGCCCTGCTAGTTGAAGAATTCGATGAGATCTACGGTACTCCTACTCCTAAGGGTTGGCGTGAAGCCGAAAAAAGTAATTGGTATTGATTGATTGGATATTTTTTACAATAGCCGGGGTCAATATTTATACCCGGAACCTAAGCATGAATCCTACTCAAATATGACTCATTACAATCTTTGGAATAAAAGAAAACATTCCTAACTTAAGATAACTTGGACCCTAATCTTTCCTTTTTGTAAAGTCCGACATATTTTT